GCTCGACGGGGGTCTTGTGCTGCTCTGTGGGAGATGTCGTGGGAAGCTGGAGTCGGTGACACCCAAACCAGAAAATACAAAAACATACAGTAACTGAGAGAGCTGGGGAGAGCACGCACAGCAGCTCAGGAAGTTTGCGGCAGGCCCAAAAGGTCAGGGATATCCCTGTGACGTGTGAGGGTACAGGGACCTTTTGCAGTCATCTGTTGTCTGTACCAGAACACTCTGCTCTCTTTTATGCACGGGGAAACTGAGGCATGGGTTGGTGAAGGTGTTTGCCCAAGGTCATGCATGGAACAGGTATTGAGGAGGACCGAGGCCTCTGGAGAACACTGCTTCCATCTTCAAACAAAGCTCTTGACCTCTGGGTTGCTTATTTGAATTTATTTATTTGTTGTGCGCTGCCCAAACCATGTCCAGGCCTGCTGCATCTAGGTGACCCAGTGGCTGAAGCCGCTTTCTCCAAGAGCGTTGGGGAAAGTCTGACAGACCCTGCATGGGCTCCCTTGGTGAATGTCTGTGTGGCACCAGAGCCCCTCACCTTGGGCAGGACCCTCGTGTTCCAGGGGCTGTGGAGACCCTCCGTGGGCTGCCTGGGGCTGTTGACAAGCCCCCGGGGTGATGGTGAAGCCAGGTTTGGTAGGAGGGGGGACAGCGTGCGGTGAGATCTGGGAGCTGTGCTGGGGCAGCCATGGGGTGAGCGTGATAGCTGGGGCAGAGCAAAGCCAGTAGTCGTGAGGCGAGAGGTGGGGATCTCTGGAGGGGTAAGCACTTCCCCTCCCCGACGTGGGGTGTTTCCCTGGTGTGGAGCGTGACCCTGTCTGTGGTTGGCAGGTCTTTTCACAGGACTAGAAAGTTTTCCGTGGGAGTAAAGAGGTGAGAAGGAGAACTGGGCAGCCCCTTGCAAGGGAGAAGGTCTCTAAGGCGATTGCTCACTCAGCAGATTAATTTCCAGCCCCAGGCCTTCTCTTGGGATGTTGGGAATGGCCGTGAGCGCTCTCATGTGCTGCTGTACACCCACCATCAAAACAGAACTAGGGAATAAATGCAGCAAGGAGAGGGGACATGGAGTTGCCTGCTATTTGGAGGCACTGGGATCATGAGAGCAGACCAACCTGGCAGCCCAGAGTGCCTGATTCCCCCTTTCCCAGGACCTTGATCAAATCACTTTACCTGTCCCGGCTTCTCCTTCCCTCTCTGCACTATCCCACACTGCTTGTCTGCTTTTCTCTTCTCTTGTCCTGTGCAGCCTCAGTCCTCACCTGGTTTCCCCAGGTCTCTTCCCAAAACCTGGCTGAGCAGCTGACAGGTTGGGCAGTGGGTCCCCTCATCTGGAGAGGGGATGGTTCACCACCAGCAGCCCTGACTCCAGGGCTTGGGAACAAACAAGCCTCTTCAGAGAAGGCAAGAACAATCCTGAACTTTATGGACAGCCCAAACCCATTAGCAAGCTGGGAGAAGTCCAATTAACCTTTAATTCTTATAAAATGGCAAAGCTCTTGGTTTCTGTGCCCTCCTGCAGCTTCTGATTTTGGCCAGACCTGGAGGAGCCACCGTTCCCCAGGGGCATTTCTTGTAAAGCTGAAGGATCCCTCCCGGGGGAGCCTGACCTTGCAGGCGTGGAAGGATTTGGGGAACCTTGGGATCTCATAATTGCTTGAGTAAATGGCTCCTTCCCACTAATGGACAGAGCTCTAACCTGGCTCATCCCCACCACGAACCCGCTGTGAGTCGCTGTTGAGAGCAAAAGGGAGACTTTAGTCCTGTAAAAGCTATGGAGTGTCTGGAGTTGGGCGAACTCGCCTTGCCCTCCAGACCAGCGCCTTTGGCTGGGGTGTCTGCAGCACTCGGAGGCTGTACTGCAGCCCTGTGCCCCGGGCTGGCAGCTGTGTGCACTTGCCCAGGTGTCCCAAAAGGGCTTCTCTGATCTTTGCTGAGGGCAGCCCCTTTTTCTGTCATGCTCAGTTCTTTGAAGCCTGCTGGTTTCCTTTTCTTCCCTTTGCAGGGGAGGGAAGAGCTTCCCCTTTTTGGCAGGATCCATCCCCCATGGCTCCCCGGTGTGAGCTGAGCAGAAGCTGAGGGAGGATCTTTGCCTTTCACCAGAGCAGGTTGTAAACCCGTCTCGTACCAGCAGCACTAACCACTCACTGGCCTGTAACAGGCTTCAGCCACGTCAGAGGCACAACCCTCCTTGAGAAGGCCACGCTGCTCGGATCGTGTCGCTTCTCTTTGCAAGCCCGATGCCAGGGTCCTACAGGCTCCCTTTATTCACCAAGCAGATGGTGATGGCATGCAGACCAGCAGAGGTTGGATCAGTCTCCACCCGCCCAGGTCAACACTGAGTTTCCTACCTCCAGGAAGCCAAATTATCTTGTTCCACTGGGATCAAACACCACAATCCTTGTCCAGACTGACTGATGGGAAAGGAAATTCCCGTTGGTACCTAGCCCTTTGCTGACAGCATCTGCAGTGCACACAAAGGTGGGACCCGTGGGTGCTTAAGCCTCAGGGCGCCAGAACATCCTACCACTGTCTTGGTGGCACAGACAGCTCCTGAGCAAGCACAAGAGCTTCCCAGGGTGGTTTGTCCGTGGTGGAGCTGGCAGTGGGAATGTGCAAACTGCAGTGTCCTCGTGGGCAGAGAAGAGGATCTGTCAGCCCAGTCACGTCTCTTCCCCCATTTCATCTCCTATCTTCCTCCTTCCAGGCAGGAGGCGGCACCTTTCTGGGGCCTGTGTGTTGGTGTCCTCCATGTGCTGTGGCCACCAGAGATGCTTCCTACAAAACATCTTTCCTTCCACTTTTGCTGAGATTCCTTGATTTTTACCCCCCGACCTTATTTTTAGGGGGCTGTCTCCAGCCATTTTCATTGTGAGGTTTAAGGCTCTGCTGCCACAGTTGGCAATCAAGAGTCCAGATTCCTCTAGTGACTTTGGAATGTTTTGGGGCCGTTTTTGCCTGATGAGTGCTCGTATGTGGCAGATACCAGAGTCAGTCAACCAGAGGGGGAATCCTGCAGGACACCGGGTGCTGTTAGCACTGCTCCTTGCAATGGCAGAACTTGGAGATGTTGGCGCGGTCGGATCTGCGCTGGGAATAGGGGGCAGGTAGATACCTGACCCACAGCTCCATGGCAGTGTCACATCAGGGGAGGCAGGGTGGGAGAAGTGACGTCTGGCTGACACCTGGGGTCGTCTGAATGTGTTGGAAGGAGAGGGATGGGGAGTCTTACCAAAAGTCCTGCACGCAAGTCTTTAATACAGCAGAGCAACGTGGCTGGAGTCATTCCCTGCCTGGCTGGGGTGGAGGGATCATTCCACTGTGGTGCAGTAATTAGAAGCCATTGAGTTAGTTAACTGCCAGCTCTGGAAAGGCTGGCGGTGCTTCTAACAACTTCCCTGCTGAGGAAGGCAGCTGGGCACGCTCGTGAGCTGGGAACAGGGCTCCTTTCAGGGGCATGAGCAGGGCTGTAACCGAGGGTTAACACAACTTGGGGAGCAGATGATGGGAGTAGGGCTGGCAGGTTTCTTCCACGGGCTCAGCCCCGTCCCCACAGGAAGAGACTCGCTTGTCGCCTCCTGACTCCTGTGATGCTCGGCAGAAAAAACAGGTTTATAACTCTCGAACAGATGGTCCTGCGTGGTGACTAATGAACGGTTTGCTGCCTGTCTCGGACTGCCTGTGACGCCTGTCTGGGCAGAAGGGGGCTCAGCTGATCCTTGCTGACGCCAGCCCCTCGGAAGTTAAGTGGTGTCTTGGCCCCTTCCTGGGTAGCCATGGTTTGCAGGCTGTGCCACCAAAACATGGGTGCTTCAAGGACACTGGGCAGATCTTGCCAGATGCTTTCCAGCCTTTGCGCAGGATGGTTTCTCCTGGCTGTGACCTTCCCAGCAGCTGCACCCACAGCGGGGCTTGTGCAGGGGGCTAATTCAGTCCTGCTGTCCTTGTGAGGCATCTGCCCGTCCTTGGAAGGTGCCGCTGCCCAGGAATAGCCCGTGATGCGCCTTGCTGTCTCCTGCAGCACCTGGCACAGAGGCTGGGCAGGCAGGGTTTTGAGGGTGTTGTGAGATAGCCCTGGGAGGCCTGGCTGGAGCAGGCAGCAGCTTTGCTGCCAGCCTGCCTGCCTGTTGGCCAGGAGCACCTGCGGTGGGCTGGGGGCACACACAGCCCCGCGGGCACCACTTGCTGGGAAAGTTCTTTCCCACGAGCGTGGCTCTTGCAGGCATCGAAACTTCCCAACTCTCTGCTCTCCCCAAGGCTGACGCGTTTCTGCTCATCAGCCAGCCTGGCAGAGGTAACGAAGTGTAATTAACTGCTCCCTTTACACATCCGCCTGGCTCGGCAGGAGGGTTTGTTAAAGGGATTTCTAGAGAAGCTGGCAATCACAGCGCCTGCTCCAGCCCAGCGTGGGGAGCTGGGGCCCAGGGAAAGGAGTGCGGGCAGGACCTTGTTCAATGCCTCTCCAGTACTTTTATCACCAGAGAGCACAGCTGTGGCTGCCTGGGACGCCTGCTCCCAGATGGGTGTGCTGGGCTTGGGCTCACAGCCCGATCATGGCAGGGAGGAGCTGGTGCATTTGCCTCCTGATAAAATAGCCACTGCTAGCCAGAGTGGCCCTGTGCTCATCCCCACTGTCTGAGGAGGTGGCTGGTGCAGACACAGCCAACCTTGGCCAGTTAGTCTTGCAGTGAGCCTGGCAGCAGAGAGCAAGACCCTCTTTGTGCATCTGGGGTGCTGTGATGACGGGGTCTGCAAAGTGGAGTCTCCCTTGTTGGCATATAGGGGGGCATAGGACCATGCAGGGAGGTACCGTGGGGTTCTAAGTGGCAGAGGGGCAGTGTAAGGTCGTTTGCACAGCAGTTGCTCCTGGAGGACCTGCTATTTTGTAGCGCTGAGCAGCACGGAGACTGGGAGCATCAAGCTCGGGGAGCAAGGATGCTCTGGGGAACCTGTTGGCAGAAGTCTCCCTTGTTGGCATATAGGGGGGCATAGGACCATGCAGGGAGGTACCGTGGGGTTCTGAGTGGCAGAGGGGCAGTGTAAGGTCGTTTGCACAGCAGTTGCTCCTGGAGGACCTGCTATTTTGTAGCGCTGAGCAGCACGGAGACTGGGAGCATCAAGCTCGGGGAGCAAGGATGCTCTGGGGAACCTGTTGGCAGAGCCGGGGGGAAGCAGGCCTCAGTTAACGCTGTCTGTCCTCTCTTCTGCATCCACCTGGAACTGGTACAGGAGCGGCAGAAAAAAGCCAGGTTGCCCGAGAGCAGTGACGGCTCCAAGGACTCGGACAGCTCTGCTGGGCGCCGGGGCAGCACTAGCCGGAAGCATGGGCGATGGCGGGGACGGCTGGACAGCCCCGGGGCGCTGGTGTCCAAGGTGGTGAGAGCAGTCACAGCGAGACATAAACCAGGACGGAGGCTGCCGGCGGCACCGGACTCTTCCAGCCGGAGGAACCTGACGGAGCCACGTGGGGAGGCCCAGCTGGCTGTCTTCCAGCAGGGCGACACGGGCAGCGTGGAGGGGGCTCCCCAGCCCACCGAGAACAGCTTCACCCCCAAGTGTGAAATCACAGGCAAAGATGCCCTCTCGGCGCTGGCTCGGGCCAGCAGCAAGCAGTGCCAACAGGAGATCGCCAACGTGGTGTGTCTGCACCGGGCTGGCAGCCTCATGCCCCAGTCTGTGCCTCGCCACTGCCAGCTCTCGGGTGAGTCCTGCCAGGGTGTTCCCGGTCACCCCTGGGCATCGGGAATATCCCATCCAGGCACGTGGGCCACCTTCCTTATGTCACCAAACTGTCCCATCTGGCAAAAAGCAGCCTCAATCTGTCACTGATTCCCAGATTACCACTGTCTCTGTAATCCAATCAAAGCTGTGCCAGTCTCCTTAAGATGGGCTGTTCATCCCAACCTGCAGTGCCTGCAGAGGTTAGAGGCCGGACCAGCTGCATTTTCTGTTTTGAGGGGCCAGAGGAGGACACCCCTTCCTTTCCCAACACGGTTCTGTCAATTTAACGCAAGGGGCTGCATGTGCCACCGTGCCCTGGCACTGCAGTGTGATGGGGTTTGCCCGAGGCCAGGCTCTTCCCTGCTGTCCCCTGCCTTGCTCAGGTCTCCCTGGTTTATCAGGAGCCCCAGGCGGTGGGTGCCAAGGCCGGGGGTGGCTGACAGCCCTCTCCCTCCCTGCACAGGCAAGGTCAGCCCTGTCATCCAGTGGGACGAGAGTCGGCTGCAGCAGGCACCCCCCAGCAAGCCCGTGCGCATTGCCTACATGCTGGTTGTGCACGGCCGGGCCATTCGCCAGCTAAAGCGGCTCATCAAGGCGGTGTACCACCAGCAGCACTTCTTCTACATCCACGTTGACAAGGTATGTGGCAGGGGTGAGAGGAAGGGGGGTGCTAACAGCACCTGGATCGGTCACTGGGACAGGGTGCAGAGCTGCGGCTTGGGTGGAAGAAGTGGCTGGGTAGGGTTTGTCCTCACTACCAGTGGAGCTGTGACCCTCCCACCCCTATTTCTGCAGCCCCAGGGAAGCAGGATCTATTCCCCCTGCCCAGAGCAGTCTTGTCTTGCCGCTCTCCTCCCTGCGGAGGCTGCTGTAAGGGCTGACCTCGGGCTGGCAGCAAGGAGGGCAGGGCCCTGGGAAGATGAGCTCCCCGCTGACCGTGAGCCCTGTTCCCTGGCAGCGCTCCAACTACCTCCATCACGAGGCGGTGGAGCTGGCCCGGCACTACCCCAACATCCGCGTGACGCCCTGGCGCATGGTGACCATCTGGGGAGGTGCCAGCCTGCTGAAGATGTACCTGCGTAGCATGAAGGACTTGCTAGAACTGGCCGAGTGGCCCTGGGACTTCTTCATCAACCTGAGTGCCACTGACTACCCCACGAGGTGAGGACTGTGCTGGGTCAGGGGAGGGTGATGGAGGTGTTTGTGCTGTGTGATGCTGCAGCAGCCTCGGGAGGCGCAGAGAGGAGCAGGGAGCCGAGGGAAGATGGGGTTGGAGATTGCACCCACGTGCTGGTGATGATGCTCCAGGGCCAGGCTGGTCCCATCTCTGCAGAGGAGCCCAACCAGTACCTCAGAGGCTGTTTTTTCCTGCGGTCTGGGTGTTGCAGGTGAACGCACATGTGAGGCGCCAGACAGCAGAGAGGCCACGTCTGTCTCCCCAGCAATGGGACCAGGGTTTGAGTCAGACCCACCAAGCAGCTGTAGGCTCCTTGCGTCTGATGGCTGTTGCAGCATGAATGTTTTCTGGGCTGCTTTACCCCAGGGGTCATTAATGCTTTCTAATTTGCACCTCAGGACCAATGAGGAGCTGGTGATGTTCCTGTCCAAATACCGAGATAAGAACTTCCTGAAGTCTCATGGCCGAGACAATGCCAGGTAATCCCAGCTAGGGGCAGAGCTGAGCTGGAGGAACAGCAAAAGGAGGGATTTCAGAAAAGAACTGAAACAGTTAGGTCAGAGGGGGATGTTCTAGCTACAGCTGCACCCAACAAAATGGGTGACACTCCTAACCCCTCATCTTTGTCCCCATGCCCAGATTTATCAAGAAGCAAGGCCTGGACCGCCTGTTCCACGAGTGTGACTCCCACATGTGGCGGCTGGGCGAGCGCCACATCCCCGAGGGCATCGTGGTGGATGGGGGCTCCGACTGGTTCTCACTGACGCGCAGCTTTGTGGAGTATGTGGTCTACACCGACGACCAGCTGGTGTCCCAGCTGCGCCAGTTCTACACCTACACGCTCCTGCCAGCCGAGGTGGGTGCTGGCTCCCGGGCACAGGCCGGATTTTCTTCCCGCTGTACTTAACGTCTCTGTCCCACTTCATCCCCGCCCTGGGTAGCTGCAAAGGGCATTGATGGTTCTGCTTGGGCAGCTTTGTGCCTCCCCTTTGTCCAGACCCAGGTACGAAAGAGAGGAGCAGACAGGCCAAGGGTCTTGTTTATATCCAACCCTGCTTTAGGTCCTCATGCCCCTCTGGGCTGGACAAGAACTGATAGGGGTGCACAGCCTGGTCCCTTACGTGTTGCCCTCTGCTGGGAACAGGGATAAGTTTCTGTTCAGGAGCTATCAAGGCCTGTCCTGTTGCTCTGAGTGATGGGAGGGGGTGTGTGTGTCTCCTTTAACCATCCGTCCTCCATCCCCACTGGGTTTCCTGTCCCTTCTCTGCCGTGCACAGTCCTTCTTCCACACAGTCCTGGAGAACAGTCACGCCTGCGAGACACTGGTCGATAACAACCTCCGAGTGACCAACTGGAACCGGAAGCTGGGCTGTAAGTGCCAATATAAACACATAGTCGACTGGTGCGGGTGCTCCCCAAATGACTTCAAACCCCAGGACTTCCTCCGGCTACAGGTGAAAAAGATCCTCCTTTCTCCTCCCGCTCTCTCCCCTCCTCCCCATCTCTCTTCTCGGAGCTCCCCTGCGGGCGCACCCCTGGGTGCAATGCCAGCTGCTGTGCACGCACGCACGCGCCTCACCCCAGCCCTGCGAGGGACAGGAGCAGGAGTGGCTCCCCCACCGCCGTGGGGCTCAGCACAGACCTGTCTGTAAACGCTCGGGCAGCATGATTACGCTGACTGTTCTGCCCAGCAGCCAGGCTTTTGCTTGCAACGCTGCTCCTCTTCCCAGGCTTTCTCTCCCATTTTCCTGCTCTTTCAACCTAACGGGCAAACACCTTTTCAGTAAAACCACTCCAGAGTGCTGTCCTCTTTGGCAGGACAAAATGCCTTGTGACAACCTGTCTCCCATGCTCTCAGTGCGTAGGGACGTACGCTGACCAAGAGAGATTTGGGGGAGGTACACCCAGCCCTGAAAAGAGACATTAGCAGGATTTTCGAGCAGTCCTGGGCTTATATGGTGCAGGGCCCCAATCCTGCAAGCTGTGCCACGTGGCCAAGGGCTCCGCAGCGGCTCTGCAGGGCGGGGGCCCATCTGAACAGAGATTGCAGCAAAGGCGCTAGATGACACATGGCTGCTTCTGAGCACAGAAAGGGGGAGGCAGTGGGAGAGATGGGAACCCATCTGCATTGCCGGTAACCGTACTGTACGCTCCCCCTGATCCTACCATAGAGGATCCCACATAGAGGCTGGCTGTGCTTTGTTGCTCCTTAGCCTGTGCCATCAAAGGGGGCAGGATGGATCCCAGCATGTTTATTCCTGGTCTGTCTCCCTCCCAGCTGCCCCGCTGAGGTGGGAGGGCAGAGGGGCCGCAGCCAACGCTGTTAGAAATGCATGTGCTCTTCCAGCAACTCTCCAGACCCACCTTCTTCGCCCGCAAGTTTGAGTCGACGGTGAATCAGGAGGTGCTGGAGATCCTGGACACACACCTCTACGGCAGCTACCCTCCCAACACTCCGGCCCTGAAGGCATACTGGGAGAACATCTACGACCGTGTCGACGGGCTCAGCGGCCTCAGCGATGTCACCCTCACCTTCTACACGGCCTTCTCCAGGCTGGGGCTCCGCAAAGCCATGTCTGCGCCAGCGGCAAAGACTGACAAGCTCTGCAGGTGGGGTATTTGCTGCGGGCTCGAGCCGGGCTCCGAGTGGTGGCCTGCTTCTCGTGCTGGGAGGATGCTGATGTTCAGATATGGAACCTCTCCGTCTGTCTGTCTCTCTCCAGATTTGAGCCCCAGGGCTTCCCTTCCAGTGTGCACTTATATTTCTATGACGACCGTTTCCAGGGTTACCTGGTGATGCAGGAAGTGCAGAATTTGGCAACTGGGCAGGCAGAGTCCCTGGAGGTGTGGATGATGCCCCAAGGAGCTCTGAAGCTGGCGGGTCACGGAGTGCAGGCAAACCGCTTACAAAACCTTGAGGTATATGGGGAAAGGTTCCCTCACAACGCCCACTTTCCTCCCCGGCTTTCCCACACTGCGCTGCCCTTCTTCCTGTCCCCCACCTGCATGCTGTGGGGACAGAGGGACACGGGGGCCGCTGTCATGCCTGAGGACAAAATTGCCTAGGAGTATGGCTTGTGAGCGGAGTGTGGTGCTGATCGGTGGGGAAAAGGCCTGAAAGGGGTCTTTCAGGGGGAAGCTGAGGCTGTGGTGCCCAGTGTCTGCAGCTGCAGGAGGCATCACACACAGCTGGATTGGCACTGGCACGGTGCAGGCAGGCAGGAGAGCCACGGAGGGTGGGTGTGTGTTGCTTTGGGCTCCAAAGCTTGTGCCTTCCCTGGTTTGGGGAGGTGAAATGCAAAACCTGAGCTGATAGCTCAGTGCCCAGTGTCCCACTGCTCATGCCACCTGTCCCTCCAGGTGGGCACAGAGTGGGACCCCAAGGAAAGGCTCTTCCGGAATTTTGGAGGCTTGATGGGGCCTTTTGATGAGCCAGTGGCCATGCAGAAGTGGTCACGAGGCCCTAACCTGACGGCCACGGTGGTGTGGATTGACCCCACCTACGTCATCGCCGCCTCCTACGACATCACGGTGGATGCTGAGGCAGAGTTCACCCAGTACAAGCCCCCCCTCAATCGGCCCCTACGCCCCGGTGTCTGGACCATCCGCCTCCTTCAGTTCTGGGAGCCCCTGGGGGAGAACCAGTTCCTGGTGGTGCCCCAGACCTTCAACCGCAAGCAGCCTCTCAGGAAAGGTGAGGAGGATGCTCTGAACATTGGGGCTGGATGGGAGGGTCAAGCAAGGCACTTCCCCCTGGTGCCGGCCTCTCTGGGCTGCAGGTGATGACAAGGCAGGAGTGATCCTTCCCCGCTGGTGTCCCCTTGCCCATGTGAGTCCTCAAACCGGACCCCTGGGCAGCTGCAGAGGGCCCGTTTGCAGCTCAGGTCCATCCCTCTGCCTCACAGCAGCACCCCTCTCCTCGGGCTGGGCTTGCAAAGGGACGGGGTGCTGAGCCCTGCCGGGAGGGAAGCGGTAGGAGGGGCAGGGTGCCGCGATGTTGCTGCCCGCTGATCCCCTCTCTCTTCTGCCTGTCCTGCCCAGATGACAGTAACTGGCTGCACGGCGGGCCCCCCCGCAACGAGTACATGGAGCAGAGCTTCCAGGGCCTGGGGGGGATCCTCAACCTGCCGCGCTCCGAGGAGGCGGAGGAGGACGCGGTGCGGAAGGCGCAGCTGACGGGCAAGGCGCTGGAGGACTGGGCGGACGGTGCCATCAGCGCTTTCTGGTCTGTGGCAGATGTCTGCGTCAGCAGCCCCTCTGCCTGCGCTTCACTGGAGACCTGCAGCAAAACCTCCTGGAGCTCCCTCTCCCCGGACCCCACATC